TGTGTCATATTTTAAAATATTTGTTGTACAATGTAATGCAGAGTAAAATCATATATTAGTTCATATATTTACATAGTTTATTTAGACTATACATGTATGTGTATACATTTACTACATAATTATTATGTATTTGACGTCACAAACATCCACAAGATTATAAAAGAAGGACCTTTAAATGTTCAGAAATTGAAAACCTGATAATTGGAATAAAAAATGTTTTCTTGTCCCATCTCTTATTTTTAAATAGATATAAGAATAAACAATACAATATATTTACATTACTATATGTTTGCGTGTAAAATGAATAGAAATCTATTGCATTCAAAACACCATAACACAGAAAGGGTGCCAAGAGGTTAAAACATGCGTTTAAGTTTGACATCATAATCGTTGAACGCCGAGGAAGTTCAACGTCACAAGCGAAAATCAAAAAATCACGTTCAAATTGACAAGAAGCTGTTACGCTGGCTGTTCCATTAAATGTATCTTACACGAACGATAATACATAGGTTTTTAAATAAAATTACATTTGCAGTTGAGGTAGAAAGTTTTTGAAAGTGTAAATATAAGCAGTGAATCATTATTTTTTGAGTGATATAGTTTCATAACTGCAACGGTGTGTGCAAACATATTTTCATAACGCGCTAACGCGCGCTTTTCAATTTGTTTGCACACACCGTTGCAGTTATGAAACTATATCACTCAAAAAATAATGATTCATTGCTTAAACATATACAAAAAATATTGCATAATACTTATTGAAAACCTCCACGGCGCCCGATCACATATCTGATGTTTTGTAGGTCCTTGTTTGCTCTGCTCCTATTTTGTATTGTTAAATGAACTTTTGATTTTGAATACTGTTCACTATGTCTATACGTTTTATCACAACATGTTAATTGGATAAATCTTTAATAATTATTTGTTCTTTATTAAAAAAAATAAGAGTAGGGAAATATTAATAATGATTTTACTGTAACAATACTTGTTTAGTAATTTCAACTCGTCATTGACATAATGAATTACAATGCACAGATTATGTATGAGAATGAATTACACAAATTCTACATGCATGTAGAATTGAGGAAATTTATTTTTATTTATGTTTGATTGCAATTGATTAATTCATCGTTTTTATTGGGAATCAAAGTACTGAAAGTACTGAAAAGCGGTTAGCATGCTTTCATCTAATATGTACCGAAAAAGTGCATAAAATGATGATATTTAAATATGCATATCTTTGTCCAATGTCATCAGAGAAGAAAAACCCAGACATTCCGTTTTTGTAATACTTTACTCAATAGTAAAACCAATAACATTCCAAACTGATGTCACAGATGGATGCAATCTAATTAAAATTAGATGTTCCGAATCCGCTACTGCTTCTCAAACATCTAACAACATCCTATTTGGGGTCATGTAAGAGTGAATCTTCGATTAGGCAAAGAAAATGGTTCCTCCGAAATCCTGGCTAATAGTTCAGATGGGTTTCTTGTTTTCACCACCCAACCAAAACACCCGAGGAGTTTTGTAGTAAAAAGATATGCATTGCAAAAGTTGTGTTATGTATGACGTGTGGGGTATCTTGTATAGTTTGTGCTCTTTCGTTTGCATTATTCACGTTTAGATGCCAGACTGCAGAAGAGACTGCAGGAGTAGAGAATTTATCCCTGGGAGCAGAGCTTTTATAATCTGTTTATTAGACAGAGAAGAAAAGAGAAGAAAAACAAACGTTTCATAGTGGAGGTAACCCTATTGTTTCCATAAAACGTTACAAAAAGTGTAAAACTTACAGATGCGTTCGGTGTTTTTTTAAAAGCGCTTTTCAGGTATTAACTTAATAAATGATGTTTCTTAATACTTTGGCAAGGAAAATCAAACTCGATCGAGAGATTTGCTGATGTCTTTGCAGTCTGTAATAACCTCCAACCTGCTGTATAATAAACTTTCAAAAATAAACTAACAGTTGCCAGAAATCGCGATCGCGCGATACACATGTAATAAGGACCAAATTCTCAGTTCTTAAAAGTAAGTGTTGTAAGTATTGTCAATGCTTTGGTAAATATACTAATAAAAATTCGATATAATCGTTATAATAGCCACTCTTCATACACAGCATATACTTCGTTAGTACGAAGTGATATACATGTAGTAGGGGCTGGCTTTAGTCAGACTTCACAGCATATTGTCAATCTCTAACCAGGGGGCGTATTACGCCGACAGTATACAAATCATTTGCAGAAGTTACCGTTGTCGATAGGTAGGTCCTTGTGGAAGTTTCCGGTTTTGGTTGCAGAAGGATAAGGTTACGAGCGATAAAGCGATGCCGATAGGTAGCGCCTTATGGAGGTTTCCGGTTGCCGACACATGCCATATAGCGGCTAGCGAAGCTAACCGCTTAAAAATCCGGGTAAGTTTATTGTATTTACCTGGTATTAATCGCGTGGATGTCCATTTTTTTTTCATGGTAAGTTTCTTATTATGTGTCAAACGAGGATTTGGAATGGATCTAACTCCTTTTCTTGTATTTTATAAATACGTTTAAGAAACAAATATGGTGTTTTTATTAAGTATGAATAAACCCAACATATTATAATTTCTTAATGATATGTGTTTTGTTTAAATCTAGCCTTAAATTTTATTTTGTATAAATCATATGTATATGTACATGTATATGCCTACTATTTTATGGTTGAGTTCGGCTTTTCCACTCGACAAGCAGAGTTTTGATGCTATTTACGGAGCTAAACGAAGAAAAAGACATGCATGCTGTATATGGTTGTGTAGATAAATTATCGAAGAAGGCAATGGTAGTAGTTTGCCAGTGTATTTCCTCTGAACGTTCAAATAAGTGCGATTCTGGGGGAGGGGTACTCCGTGTAATTCGGAATTGGATACCTTGTGTTATTATTATAGTATGGGTAAAAAATGTTCCAGAAACAAGTGCCTGTGGCTTTGGATTAAAACTCTCGTTCACCGAATGGTCATCTGTACATACCCAGGTATTACGACGTCGTATTCCTAGATGAAATTAGAACGTACGTGTATAAACATATGCTTGTTGTAGTACATAGAAATCAAATTGTCTAGTTTGAGATTTTGACGTATTTTTCAGTACTTCTGCACTCCTTGAGGGGAAAGATTACTCTAAATCATTTGGATACTGAATCTGATACACCGAAATTGGTGACTGTGTTAAACATTTGAAAGTATACCATGATCTACCGTGTCGAAAGCAGCCAAAAAAGATCATCTTCTTACCTCGTGACTCTAGATCAGACGCTGTAACCAATGCCCCACTTGGGAGACCTTTTAAAGGAAAAAGCACAGAGTAAGCCTTCGGGACTCAAGAATGCTGCAAACACTACTTTTTAATGAAGCAAAAAAATATTAAAAACGTCTTAAACAGAAACATGAAAACAAAAATGTTACGATGAGAAAAGTTGAAAACAAAAACATACACACAGCTAACCTTATATCATGTCAAACGTTGCAATGTTTCCCTTTGCATTAATTGTTATTACAATTTTCAATAAGTATTATGCATTAGTTCTTTTGTATTATGCTATTTTTATTTGAAAAATTATCATTTTTTGTATTCTGTAACGTTTTCCATTTAAATTGCATAATTTTCTTATTTGTATTTTTTCCATTCGTATTTTTTGTTTTGATATTTTATATTTTTGCTTAATTTATTTCGATCGTTTCAATGACTACTTTGGCCGAAGTCATATAGATGTCAGAGAAATGTCAACAAAGGGGATAACAAGGTGGAATACTGATGAATGTTTGCTCCCAATTATTTTATTTCATTTAATGCAATACAAGATGTTGATGAAAACTCCCACTGTCAAGAAAAACCCTTATGTAATTCATTCGGAAATAGGTTTCTGCTAGGAGTACACCTGACAGGTAGTTACAGGATTTTGAATAATAGAAGGGTAGACTTACATATCATTTTGTCATTTACAAACTTACATGGGGAGCGCCTCTGATTTAAAACATAGAATTCGCATTGGAAATTAAAGAAAACAAACATGAAATATAAAATGTAAAAATGATAAATAATTTCGAAGGAACAGATAGAATATTGCATCATTTGACATGACCTTTCACCTACATTATGCAGTTATTGAATGAGTCTTTGAATGCTAAATATACTCAGCATTAACAATTGATTGAAATATATGCATCTAAATACCTGATGTTCTACATATGAAATTCTTCTATCTCTGTATGGTTTTGGTTCTGTGTATGTAATAAGTTCTGCGTACATTCATTACATCAACCACGTGTGTATCTCATATTTATTTTAAGCTTTACTTGTCAAATCTACTTTAATGCGAGATATAATTTAGCACCAGCTTGCAACTTTGGCAAAAATAACTCCGAAAAGATGTAGGAAACTCTGAATGACTCCTAAGGTTATACACGTTCTGACGTGATTCAGGATGAAACAAAAAAGCTAAGACATATTTATTCAACAATGTTCCGACGACACATGCATTCACATGTAATTACACGCATGAAAAATCTTTAAATCTAGAAAACATTAAACAATTCTATGAAACCAAATCAAAACTTACCATAGCGCTTGAAATTCTGATTAGATATTAAGTTTAATGTCTGCATTTGAATGTTAGGTCTCAGTTTTATTAATGTGCAGTGAGAGACCGTCCATAGAAAAATATTGCTTTTACCATACAAAGTATTTTTTATGTTAATCAATAAACAATTTAACTGATTGCTACAATTTTTTAAAAAAATAATTATATGCATATACTTTCACTTTATCTTTTTTCTTTGCCTTAGTAACCATTTGAAGTATTACGGAAAAGCTGCGTGTGTAATTTTAACCCATTAAAAAAAAAGAAATTAGAAATTCGTGCTTTATTTTAAGAGAAAATGTTAGCTTTACAAGTACAGGTTTAAGTTCTAGTATACACTTCTAGATAACTGATATATGTACATATACATGATAAAAATCAGTTGAAAGTTTATTAGACATATTTACCGATATATCTACTTTCATTGAAAGTATTGACTGTAATGTTCAATTGAGGAAATGCGGTTTCCTGGGCATTTTGGTCCAAGACACTACCTCGATAGCATGTTTGGTCTAAAAAAAATATGCATATTATGTTTTTTGAATAAAATAAATTAAAACATCAATGACATATGTTTTTTTTCAATAGAGAAACACATTTAAAATGTTTAAAAGAAATCAGTCGTTAGTCAATACCTGCTACAGGTATTTTCTTAGAGATATCTATCCGAAGACAAAACGTAACCTCTGTGAATATTTAAATAATAAAAGCTTTCTATGGTTGTTAGTACGGGAAAGAACGTCGCAGCCATTGCAGAAAAAAGAATATTTTTCAGCAAAAGCTGCGACAATAATTCCCGTACTAACAACTACAGAAAGCATTTTATTATTGAGATATTCGCAAAAGATATATTTATATTTACATCTGTATTAAAAGTCATTTGAAGTAAAATTAAAAATGTTAACTATTGTTAAGATGAATATGTCATCGCCATTGTGCAAGAACACGTGGCTTAATTACTCAGCGTCGTTCATGCACTGATTAATGGCAATGGAATTTCTAAAGAAATAAAGGAGAAAATATTTAGTGGATGTAAATATTAAATATTGAATTATACAGAAGACAAAAAACATTTATGTCTTGCGATAAACATTTTTGACATGAATCTCTGGAAGAAGGATATGGAGATAACGAACAGTATTCAAACTCAAAGTCCATAAAACAATACATAATAAGAGCAGAGCAAACACGGACCCCCGAGACATCAGAGGTAGGATCAGGTGCCATGGGAATAGGAAATAACGGAAAAAATCAGTCGTCAATTAGTGTATAAATAATTGACTAACAATTGGTATGAAAAACGTCAGTCAGCATTTGACTCAATGATAAATTGTATTTGCTGACATGGTCATTGTATCGACTTTAGAACTTTCGAAATGATTACTTTAAACGAGACTGCTGATATTCTGGTTTCATCGATTTGAAAAACAACAAAATGTCGTCCGTTTGGTTAACTGTTTAAAGTTTCAAACACTTTACAGAAACTGATATGAGTCCCAATAAATATGTTTGTTCAGCATTAACATGTATGACGTAAATGCGAATAATATTTATTCTTAAAACAACTCTCTATTTAAAAACCTATTGATTCGTCAAATCATAATATTGTATTCATTTGAAATCAGAAGTCCAAGGACCACAATGCTTTCTTAGTTACCTTGGTATGCTCTTCCTCACAAAAATGCGCGTGACAGCCTTTAGAATAAAAAGAACCCCGCTCTATGGTTCTTACCTACCAAGAGGAGATAATGATTTCCAAACACGAAAATTGAAAGTATACTTGTGTTTGCTCTCATATCTTAAAAAATGTTAAAAATATATTGAATTATATTTATTATTAATTTGCACTTTTCCGAAACTGAAATCAGTCGAGGTTCTTGGATAATAAAAGTAAGTATCAAAGAACAGAGATTGGAGGTTTACAAAATATTCAAAACAGCATACTATTTTGGCCGTTTTTAGAGACTTAGAGTTTTCAAGATTTGAGGAAAATGATGCACCTCAGTACAGAAAACGCATCAACTAATAAGAAAAGTACATTATATCCTTTTCATTTGATACAAAGTAGTAAGAGGCTGAAGTAGTTGCAAAACTGAAAATCTCTGCGCAAGATATATCAGACAGATATAGCAAAGAGTTTCAAATCCAAGTGTTGTAAAAACATTCGCTTTCTGTTTCCTATCCGGACATACATGTTGTTGTAGTCTATGCTTTCCCCAGCTTTTAGAACGTATCAGATAATTAAACACCGATTTAACTCCTATTCCTGATATTTTATTTACCTTTCAATGGTTCCAAAAGTCCATTTGTGTTACGGACATCGAAATGGGAATTTATTCAACCGACATTCGAAAGAGAACATCAATGACTCTTCCGGACCCTTGAAAGGTTAATAAGGTATCAATAATAAGAATAATTGGAATAATAAGAGTAAAGAATATAGAATTAATCATCCGAAACATTCCAAACCCGAGAAAAAATCAAAGTACTGAGACAGTACTGAAAGACGGGGTCAAAATAATCTTCATGCTAGATTTCACAAATGTGATTTTTTTTTTACGAGTTTAGATAACAACTTGATTTTTCATTTACATACTAAAAACAAAACGGTGAATAATATACATTCACACTTTTCATTTGATTTGAAGTAGAAATTTTAATAATTGCTCAGCCTGGAAGACTTTCTAAACTGCGACGAATTTCATCAGGAACGAATTAATATTTTTTTCCGGAAGTATACAATGGATGATGCATACGCAGTCATAATTATACGCAGGATAGTACTTGTTTAGTAGTGTGATTAACAGTTAATATTTTCAGTTTTAAATTATCAAAATACTTTATTAGTTTGAGTTAGCAAAAGGTTCGTATAATTTTCTTCAGTTTGATACAGATTTTTTATGTTTTGATCAAAACAATTTCTGCACTATTTCGTATGCGCAAATTTAATTCATGTGTTATCACCACGGCTTTCTGTTTTGCGGCTTCTGACAGTAAACTAAAAGACGGGGTCACGTGACCCCGTCTAAAAACATAAACTACAATAAATGATACATAAAGTAAGCAACAAAAAAGCGGCAGCTTATAATCTTAGATTTGATAACGCTTCATCTCTCTGTTATAATTGTCCAAATTTTATCAGGGAGTTCTACAGCTAGTGTCCAAATTATATGGGGAATATATTTCATCGAGAACCCATAATTTTTCGTTGTATCAGAAATTCACAGGGCTAAGTAACGTCCACTGGAAACATATTCTTTACAATTTGTCACAAAGGCTATTACTTTCATCTACTTCAGCCGAGTATGTATTTATAAGATGTTTTGAAACAAGTAACTGAATTTCAGCTATTCAATTTTTTCCCCCTATGCAAGTAGACAATACTTTGCTGTAGATACATACATAAAACTGCATCAGTTGAGTCATAAACATCTGGACAAGGAGGATCGTCCATTGAGCAATTCTTAATATCTGAACCCTGGATGCGCATAGATCCAAAGTTATATTCGGCGCATTGCCCAACTACATATGAAGTTTAAAAAGATATTGATAAAAATGAATGTATTCAATGATGATTCATAGGATTTCGTTCTTTACATATGAGAATTCTAGGCATTAGGAATGCCATGAATACAATAAATTATATTTTTTAACCTGTGGGTTAATAAGAATAACCAGAAACTGTTAAGGTTCAACATGTTATGAAAATTCAAAACACCAAAAAATTATCACAGATATCTGTAGTAACATACAATAAAATAAGAACTTACGAAGTATGTATCGTGGAGCGGCACAAACTTCAATTGAAGCGTTTCCCAATTCATTTATAACACAATGGTATATGAAGGGATATATTGAATGAATGGAATCTTGGCAATTCTTCTTTTTTGACCTTTCCAGCCATTCTTCCCTTGATACTGGGCAGGACAAAACCAACTCAGCGGAATCTGGCAAACTGTAAGAACTGCCTTCTGTAGCCTGTATTTTGATTAAATGAACAAGAAAGCAATCAGGGAATATACTTTTTATTTGTTAAAGTAAAAATTCTACTTTTGATTTCTTGAAACTTGTAATTGTAAAAAAAAAAATTAAAAATTACCAGAACATGCATTCCTACGAATGACCATAGAATGCTGATGGCATAGGAAGTTTTCATGATTCTTTAAATTGTAATTCCTGCAACCCTAAAAGTAATAATTTAACAGACATACTGAGATTATACACTCTGTTCTATATTCCAATACAAAAGAAAAATACTGATAAAAGTCAGCGCTTCTCGTAAAAGTCCATTAGTCAGTTTTCTTGATCGTATAATTTTTACTGTGTTGCACGCATAAAATATGAATCGTTACTGTGTCGAGAAAATTTTACTGTGTCAACATAGTAAATAAGCTCATGAAGAACCCTGGTTGTTATATCAGATTCTGTGAAAAATTACATTTCATGGTGGACATGAATTCGTGGGTCTCTTAATAGACATTTCCAGTTAAAAGCGCAACGAGCTCGAACTCGTACTCTGGACTCCGATATATAAGGGGTCGTATAAAAAGTTTTTGAAAAGGGTTATTTAAGAAATAAGGTATCATTTTTAAACATCTATCGGGATATAAATACGGGTTGGAGGGCTTTATGATGAATTTAATCTCGTACCAGCCCGATAGATGTTTTAAAATGATACCTTATTACTTATATTTACATTTATGACTTATTCATACTTTATATTTGTCTGATTGTGACTTTTAACGTGTGAAATGCATTATTTTTCAAACCCAACGGCAAGTATTGTACTGAACGCGCGTCGACCCTTTATGATTTCACTGAGAAATTACGTCAAACGATTATCCATACGCACATCTATGACCTCTTGACCCCATACCTGTATTTATACAGTTATAGATACGCATTCCTTTCAGTAGTGTTATGTAAAGGAAAACATTTGCAAAATTAATGTAAATATAAAGCTATATACTAAGTGTGGCGTATCTGAACTAAAAAGTAAAACACGAGATTAAACAAAGATTAAGATAATATTTGCTATCTAATTCAAAATAAATTCACCGATTTTGAACCCAAATATTATTCCCCAATTTTTATACATGTAGGTTTAATTGACTTTAAACTGATATTTTATTCCCGAGTCGGAAATAAATCGGTTATTGTTTTTGATCTCGGAATTCTATATAACGCTATTGATTTTAAATTGTGTTATTTACAGGAAATTCCTATCTTTATACAAAGTAACAAAACAAAGACAAAGTTCATTTTAATTTAAGTTAGTCTGAACTTATGAAAAATACGCCATATTATGAATTTAAATGCTACATACTACTTTGCTTCATCCAGGAAACAGTGTTTTTGTTGTTTATAAAAAAAATCAAATTTTGACACGGCCCCTAAAATTTTTTAATCAACTGTCAGAGTCAGTGCGCGAGTACAATTTTGAGATCATGAAATCTGAAAATGTCTAATACATGTTATTCATACCTCAAAACAACGAAAATTAACCCCTGCAGATATTAGATATTTCACAGTTTATCAATCATGAGGAATCAAATGCTATATAAAAGGGTATATATCCAGTATTAAACAGGAAACTCAAAAGATAAACAGAATAACATCAGTCACAATTTGACATAAGGCATGTGATATTGGACACCGGTGTTAATAATGCTTTTTTTCCAATGATGAATTTAAACAAACGTGGTAATGCATTTGCATAATTAAATTTTCCGTCAGTATCCTTTGTCGGTTTAGAATTTACTTTTTTATTTTATAACCGTTGAATGTTTAAATATATTAAGATCTTTCGATCTTTGATGTAAGATAGATCGCCCTTATGTACCATAAGTATGAATAATAAAATGATTTAAAAATAAGAATCTCATTATTAGACCTTGAATTCTGCAATAAAAGAGCATACAAGAAAAACTAATAGTTTCAGGATAGAAAATATTTTTGATTGTTTCAATAAAAATTGAAATATATATTTTTAAACTTTGTTAAGGTCAAGATCTAGTAAATGGAAGGTGCCTACAGATTTTTCAAATTTAAGAAATTAATTCCTTTAATGATGCTTTATAACATTAGATTGGTCAAAATAGGCGTTTCGGGGCATAATGTATAGAAAAACAAGATGAAAATTATATTATAAACTGTCATTTTCAATGAAAAATTAAGAAAACCAGTATTAAAATTGGGAGTTTTTTTCCCTAATCAGGCAAAGAAAATGTATCCAGATAGCCTACAGTCTCTCAGAAAACGGTTGTTTGTATGTTCTTAGTCTCTCCTTTAAAATAATGATTAATTTAAGATAGGTATCCAGACTACTTTTCATGTGATTTCAAATTGAATTCCATGAAAATACTTTATTTTCTACATAATTCTATTAGAGCCGTAAAGTACGGGAAAAAGAAAGTTGAAAGTGATTATGACGTCATAATGGATCTAGCACTGATAAGTTAGTCTAAAGTCATTTACTAGATCTTGACCTTAAGCAAGCTTGTGGACTTTAATGGTGGCAAAATGGCAATAAGATTGCCTTCATTGCACAGCTTTAATCTTCGCAAATCGTAGTAAATGACATTTTTCTATATACAGTGTATTACACGTCTAATAATAATCATTAATAATCATTAGAAACTCCCGCTTTTCGATATTAAAAAAATAAACAAATAAAAAAAAACAATTCATTAAGCATTACCAAAATTGTTGTCCTTGCAAGTTGAAAAAAAGTATCATTTTCCCCGCCTGACATAAACTAAGCAAGGGTAAGACAAGCCAACTTCGAGCAAAGAATTGCATCTTCCGAAAAATAATCTTCCATCGGTTGAAATTTAGCGGATGTTTTAGATACAGTTTTCTGAATTATGTAATACCTATAACATAAACGATACGAAAGCTGCGTTTCAGTTAATACATTTTGGTCTACCTTGAATTCTGAGCATTTCCTTGTTGTGCAAAAAAATTATTATAGGTCAATCAAGTATTTCCATCCTTCCTTGTTTGTTTAGCAAGTAGACACATCAAACAAAATTATGAAAATCCCTTCCCCAGCACCTGTTTCGATTTAACACCAAGTTGTATGCAAGTTTAACAAGGGATAAAATTGTATAATTAAAGAAAAAAAATTATTAACCTATAGCATTTAGCAACACAGGGAAATCAGGAAAATTTTATTTAACATTTTCCCCAAAATAATCAAGAATTTATACAACCTTTAGCATGTGCAGCACAGTTAAGGTTAAAGTAAGGAGGCGGGCCTAATTCATACGGGAAATGTTTACTATGACATCACGCATAATATAAGGTCTTCAAAATATCACAAAATGAAATTATTTCCTATTTCAAACAGCTGGATAGCTGTATAATACATAAAAACTTACTATTACATGCAGTTTTGTCGTTTGTTAAGTCCCACACAACAGTATATGAACGATGCATCGATCGCAATGCACTTGTCAATGTGACGTCATTTCGCAAAAATGACGCAGTTTTTACACAGTCAGAGGCTGATCAAGTCACATTTTGTACAACGAAAAATGTCTTTTGTTCTCAAATGAAATATTATTTGCAGTAAAATAAAAAGCCATTTACTTGGATACGATGTCTTTTTTAGCATTGTATTCATAAACTGTACCCGCATTCATCAGACAAGCTATACCATCGTGTGTTTGTATGCAGATTCATTGACAAAGTAATGGAAGGGCCCTAACAAATCGATTTATTGCAAGGGCATACCCTCAATGTATCCTGTCAAAATTTTACAAATAAACTAAAGAAGCATTAAGATATTTGAAAATTGCTGCAAAAATCTTGAAATCTTGCAAATAAATTAATTATAGCTATATTTAATGTTGTTGACAAGCAAAATATTCAACATGCCCTCCAACAAATTAAATTTTACCAATTAAAAAAGGGAATCTATATAGGTTCGCAGCACTTTTCACAAGCTACATATAATATTTAAAAAGGATTATTAAAAAAAATAAGATTTTTAACTTGGTTATGCCCTTGCAATATTGAAATTTATATATGACCTCTAAACTACAAGTAAAATTGCAAAAGTCATGTAAAGTCGACATACATGACAAGTCTAAATAAAAAAAATCTAAATGTCCCCAACATGTAGATTTAAACCACATAACAGTTTTTTGATATCAGTGAATTCCTAAGAATATTCGCCCATCCTAATAAAGTATGTATTTTTTATCTTAAAAAATCGCCGATATTTCCATTTGTAAACTTAACTGTGCTTGGTGCGCAGTGATTAGTATTTCCTTATCCATATGTAAGAAAAAAATGTTGTATAGTATTACGTGCCTGTATATATACATGCATAGTATATCAATACCATGCTATGAGATCTTAAATCTCTCATATAAATATATGAAAAAGAATGTAATTTTTGGTACATACTGCTTTCATATGTTTAGCTTCATTTCATATAAATCAGCTGATCAATACAAATTGATAAAATTGCTATTTTTTGTTTTGATTGTCCTTACCTCAGTTAACATGCAAGTCGTACCATCTCTTTCTTCCTGGAGTACAAATGCCTTAAAGCATAGTAATATTCATAATTTCAACACCTTAAACAGTCCTTAAATTCTTTCGCGTCTCGGTGTAAGAAAAATTGTTGTGATATTACATTTGTAACAAATCACAAATGATTTATTCAAGTGCTACCTTGATAATCATCCTAAGTGAATGTGGATCTACTTTAGCCCCCTTCATTTGTGGATGGTAAGCAGTTAAATAATTTATAAAAGCATGCGTAGGTCCCAATTTAACGGTAATTTTAGAAATGCGGTTACATATACAGGCTCCATGTTAAACTGAATATTGAGTTTCATTAGTCAAAATCATATTCTGTTTGTTTAGATATCCACATGGGTGTTGTCCAGGCTATGAATGGAATATTGAACCTGAAAACTACACAGGTTACTTACATCTTGATTTTTTTCAATCTTGTTTTTTGAGAATTTCCAGTTTCGATAATCATTGCATACGTATGATATATTAAAGAATGTGTTATATGATTATTGCTTAATGTTAAAAACCACTAAAATTAATATGTTTATTACGATTTTTAGGAAAAGGTTCTTTTTTAATTCATTTGACGTCTGTCGTCGTTGTCATCGATATTGTCACTGTAAACTTTACATATCTTTTTAAAGAACCACGAAGTTAGTTTCAACAAATTAAAACCAAACCTGCCACAAAATATCCTTGTATAGAGAGGATTCAAAAGCGAACAAACTAAGAGTAATATAAATTTCGAATTCGAATTCATGTAAGATATAAAATGAATGATTTAAAATTTTTCTTCTCAAGAATAAATGTGCTTGAAAATATTGAACCAGTGTGCAAGAAGAAGGATATGGAAATAACGAACAGTATTCAATCTCAACGTCCATTAAACAAATATACAAAATAAGAGCAGAGCAAACACGGACCTCTGAAACATCAAAGGTGGGATCAGGTGCAATGGAGGAGTGAGCATCCCCTGCCGACCGGTCACACCCGCCGTGTGCTCGTTGTCATAATCAGGAAATAACGGAAAAAATCCGTGGTCAATTCAGTGTATAAATAATGGACTAACAATTGGTATGAAAAACGTCAGTCAGCATTTCATTCAATGATAAATTGTATTTGCTGACAAGGTCATTGTATCGACCATAGAATTTACGAAATGATGACTTTAAACGAGACTGTTGATATACTTGTTTCATCAACTTGCTTGTCAATAATTTACCTCGTTTAAGAAATTGTTCATACGTAGAGCATGCTCTTGCGTATCGAATTAACTGAGATATAAATACTCCGTATGCAGGTGATAAAGGTATATTGCTGCATAAGTAAGGGGAGTTGAGTGTAAAATCAAGTATGGTCAAATCAGGACCCTGGCAGAAGGGTTTGGCGTCAGAGGTTGATCAAGGTTTTACCTTTGAATGGATAGAGAAATATTTTCAAAGTGCTTCGAATATATAGAAAAATATTTTCAAAAAGCTTCGAATCTATAGAAAAATATTTTCAAAATGCTTTTCTCAAGAATAGTTAAGCCATGCTAAGTTTTACTTAATATATGAAAGATTCCTCTGGTAGTGTAGGTTCCAGTTTGGTCAAATCTTGACGCCAAACGACAGGATGGGGTCACAGTATTAGGTACCTAGAATTTACATTTGTATGCAAAGTAGAAAATCTCTTTAAACGTTTCCTTCTCAAGAACAGCAAAGTTTTTCAATATTTTAAAATTCTTTCCAAAAACCACTCGGTAAATTTTAACAAAACTTCCTATATAGCATTATTTGGTGAGGTAGATTCAAGTTCAAAGGCCACTCCCTGATTTAATGGAAATAATTTAGCAAAATGTTAAAATTAAATTTTTCATAAAACTCTGTGTCAGAAAGATAAAACTTACTGGGAAACATGTTCTCAGTAAGCATAGAATCAAGATTGTCCAAAACTTGACCCACGGGGTTGGATGGGGTCACTGTGGACGATTACAATTTTACACAAGAAAAGATTAAAAAAAAATAAAATTAATGATTGATCATACTTATATGGAATCATCCAGAGGTTGAAATTAAAAGTTATATATCACAGGAATATATCTGAAGGGAAAAAATCTAATCCAAGGCAGTTACAACATGTTACCGTTTGTTTGTCATCCTTATCTTTGCACATATGCATGCCAAATATTGAATCTTAATGCGATATCAATGTAATCAACGTCATTTAATTTAAACAATATTTCATTATGATAAAACATAATATTATATTAATAATGGTATAAAGAGCTTTAAAAAATGAATAAGAAAACATAAATAGGTTTTGATTCTGTGATTTGACAATTGAAAAACAAAAGCAGATAGAATATCATGCAAATCGCTTTGTCGTTGCAATAATATCTTGAACAATTTTAAATATTGCAATATTTAGGTTGATTGTAAGATTATTGTCTCCATTTAGAATAAGTTGTAAACATAAAGGCATTGGTAATTGCAAAGTATTAAAGTTTTGTATTAGGTTCTGTCTTTGCATACAGTATTATGGACAATTCATAAAATAGTGATATGATGTTTAAAAAAGCGATTAAATAAGTCAGCATTTAAATTACTAGCATTATTTCGCAACTGACAATGCAATATATTCATTTTACGACTTCCATAATTGTAATATTTCTTAGGTTTTATGCAGTATATATTCTTTATGGCAGTCTTGAATGATGTAAGTGAAGAAAGGTTTCGGATATCAAATGGTAAATCATTCCAAAGTCTTATAGTTTAGGGGAGGAACCTTTCATAAATGAAGTTGTTTTGGCTTGTGGAATATGAAATGTAAGATTGTCCTGAATCCTTAAGGGATAATAATTATCTGGAAGAATGCATGGTTGTAATAAATCTTGCAAATCCTGGGGTGCTAATCCATACACTATTTTATAAAATAACACTAGTTTATGTATTTTTCTTCTTATTTCAAGAGTATCCCAGCCAAGGTCTTCATAAAGCTTTGATCTTGATGAATTGATTCTGAAACCGGTTATTATTCGTGCAGCTGCAACTTGAACATCTTCAAGTAATTTTGCATCTCTTTCTGTACAATTATCCCATACAATATCTGAATATTCAAGAACAGGACGAATAAAAGAAAAACATATTTTTATCAAGGCATCCCTCTTAAGTGTATGTTTTAACATTCAACTGAGGTTATTGATATTGGCCGATAATTATTAACATCTTGTGAACTTCCTTTATTCTTATAGATGGGAGTAATTTGTGAATTTTTCCAAATGTCTGGAAGTTGCCCAATAGCAAGTAAATAATTACATCGTTTGGTAAGACGTTATCAACGTGATAACTCGGCCAAACAGTTGTTCAGGATAGCAATTTGTTCCATGGACTTCCGTTTGTATATGTAATATATATTAATGATATTATTATGTTATCTAACTATTCTGAACAATTGCGAGGACTTTTTTTTGTTTTTGTTCTCCCTTGTTTTTCATTTGTTCATTTCTGTGTTTTTTTTATAAATCAATCCGAAGAACATGTCTGGCAGAATGTGAAATTGGTTATTCTGGCATCAACTGTTCGAAACCTTGCGTCTTTCCAAGCTATGGTATGAAATATAAACAGGAGTGCAGTTGTTCTGAGGATGAGTGTAACTTTATACTCGGATGTACAGAGGTCTCTATTTTAAGTCTCCCGTTGGAGGGAAGCACCTTAGCGTGTAAGTATGAAAATAAGCCAACAAAGTGAATGACCAGATGAAGAAAAATTCATAACATGCAAGGGAAGGGTGAGGGCTCCTCACATTCTGCAAATCCCCCTATCATCTCGCAGGTAGGTTAAAGATAATAAATACGAAGACAAATAAACTTTAAAATTATGCATGCTTTGGTTTTTTACTGTATTACAACTGTAAAAATTGGTTCAGATACCTAAACTTTAGAAAGTAGATGTTGGTTTTCTGCCTGCATTTCAATTAAGGATACACGCAAGGTACCTTACCTACTGATAAATTTTCACGATATTCTTAACTTAAAATTAAAATGGATGGACATCAATGACCAGTACCTGATGAGTGTGCTTGGGCAGCCCATTATGAACACTAAGTATCGTACTCAAAAGTTCATCACTAATGGCCTTCTTACGATAAATGGTTGGTTTGAGGGTTTGGTTCGATCGTCGACAAAACGCATCTTGTCCGAAAGCTCAGTCAATAAATGCTTCGTGATACCTTTCAGGGAGGTGCTAATAGTAATGGTAATTGGTTGTAATCATTTGCAATTTTCGATGTTATTGAAAGCGATGTGTAAGTGTAATTTTTAATTTCAATTAATTTTAATTTAATTCATTGCTTTTTAAAAAGGCATGTTACCCACAATTACTTTTTTTAGTTCCTTTAAAAAAATGTTAGATGGACTAACCCCTATCTATCAATTAACATTATTAGGGATATCAAAAAGTTTATGGACTAGTGCCTTAGAATTAAAACCGCTTGGCTCAAGTGGAGAGTGTGGACAAAGTAGTTCGGCGTAGTAATTTATATTTGTATATTCATACGCATACTTCGGTCGGAAAGTATATGTACAAGAAGGTAGAGAGGTACACAGCTGGTTGACGGCATTTAAACCGGTAGACAGGTCGGCAGGTAGATGGGTCGGGATCAGCAGGTAGACTGCTCGGCAGGTTGACAGGTCGGCTGGCAGATGGGTCTGCAGGTAGACAGGTCGGCAGGTAGATGGGTCGGGATCAGCAGGTAGACGGTTAGGCAGGTAGACAGGTCGGCAGGTAGAAAGGTTGGCAGGTAGACTGGTCAGCAGATAGATGGGTCGGGATCAGCGATAGACGGTTCGGCACGTAGACAGGTTGGCAGGTAGACAGGTCGTCAGGTAGACGGGTCGGCAGGTAGATAGGTCGGCGAGTCAGCAGGTAGATAGGTCGGGATCAGCAGGTAGACGGTTTGACAGGTCGGCAGGTAGACAGGTAGACAGGTTGGCAGGTAGACAGGTCGGCGGGTCTGCATGCAGATGGGTCGGGAACAGCAAGTAGACGGTTAGGACCAACCCTAATATCTCGGATAAATACAAGACTAACCCTAATCAGTAGAATAATGTTCGAGAATTAACCATAATCTCTCGGATTAATGCAACACTAACGTTAACCCTAATCAGGCGAATAATGCGCGAGGACTAACCCTAAACTCTCAGGTGGATGCTAGACTAACCCTAATCTGTCGAATAATGTGCGAGAACTAACCAGAAACTGCTTAGCTGTCGATCTGTATATTAGCAAATTTTTACCTGCCGACCTGCCGACATCTCTACCTGCCGACCTGTCTACCTGTCGACATGTTACGGACCTGCCGACCTGTATATTAGCAAATTTTTACCTGCCGACCTGTCTACCTGCCGACTTGTGACGGACCTGCCGACCTGTATATTAGCAAATGTTTACCTGCCGACCTGTTTAAATTTCCTACAGTAAAATATAACCAAAATCACAACTATATGAAAGAATATCCGCCGTAATATGGAACTACATATCCGTTATTTATTAAAAGTTAACTGATCTTAGGACATAGAATCTTTAACATGGTCATATTTCCTTATTATGGTGGCATATTTCTGCCCCTTGTGTGCAAAGTATTTTTCTATCAAATATGTTGACATGCAAGATAGATATGTTGACATGCAAGATAGTCAACATGCAACATAACTCAGTTGACATGCAAGAAAATTGTGGGCCATATTTGAGATTTTTGAAGATTTTTTATAATTTTTATTTGATTGCAATTTTCTTGCATGTCAACATATTTATGTTGCATGTTGACATAGCTATCTTGCATGTCAACATATCTATCTTGCATGTCGACATATTTGATAGAAAAATAACTTGCACACAAGGGACAGAAATATGCCACCATACCTTATTGATTAAACTGCTCTTCCATGTACGATATTGTAATTTTTCATTTTTCTCAATAACTTTTAAATCTAATAAATCTGTGTAAAGTGTATGTGTACAAATTAGATTTATATTTTTGAATTAACCCATATAAAGATAGGTGTCCAAGGGTTTATAATTCCTTTGATTGCCATGCCTTCAGCTTATGTTGGAAGTCATTAACAGGTGCTAATTAGTGCCTGAGGTCATGTATATATTCCTATATAGATATTTTTCACACATTTTATACTTTGTCTGTTAGTAGTTTTATATAAACAGGTTAACTTTAAATTGTAGTTTTGTATAGAATAAGTCAATTACCAACATTTTGAGATTTGCTTATGATGCTGAAATACGGAAACATTAAGACTAAAAAAAAAACATCTATTGCACTTTTAACATTAATTAATTTGAAAGCTTAAAAATGATTCCAAATTTTTAATATATGAATTGAATAGGTAAAACCATGCGTAAACGTTCTATTTGTAATGTAGATTCTATGTATTCCTCTCACAAAAGCCCGAGTGGAGAAAAAATTCAGCAAGACAGGAAAATCAGAAACCTAATACATGTTCGGTAATGGGATACAGTATTTGAAAACTGTATGAATATTTTAGTAATGTAATTGTAAAGAAAATTTAAAATAACCTGATATAAATATAAAGTAATCTACATGACATTTAACTCTTTGATATGTTTTCTTGTGTGTATTTTGTAATTTAGTTAATTACATTTGTAAGGTAATTGTAATATAATTTAAAGCATATATATATTATACGTAAAAGTGTACGTGTATGAGCATATGTATAATGTAGACTTAGCGTGTATGTACAAAGGATGGCGTAAAAATGGCAGTAAAAAGCAGCACTTTAGTGGATGTGCAGTAAATTCTGCAAGAATGAGAAAGTATGGAACTGTATAATGTAACTTCTTTTAAATGATATAGGTCTCAGTATGCCATTGAGTCAATAAACCATTCAGTAATTTTGCCACTGAGCAATTATACCATGTAGAAAAGGCATGCGATTTTATAGATATTGTAAATAAAATCAATTTTATCAAATTAAATTGATTTGTGATTTAGGAAGCCACAATCTACACTGATGACATACTTTCAAACTAACTATTCAAAACCTGGATGGTTTAGTTATTTGCATGTATAGATAAAAACATTTTGACTAGATAACAATAAAAAAATCAGTATGTAAACAATCATTTTTGAGAATTGATTTTGACAAAGAATCGTTTATTTCAACTTCTTTATAAGTACTGTTCATATATTATATTTCACAATAAATTAAATATCAAAACAGAGGACAGATTTTTTTTAGTTCTTATTAAAATTTATCCATTTTTTTCTTATTTTAGTTGATATTTTGCAGGAAAATCAAAATGATAATTATTACTAAAAATTTCTTTCGCTTATTATCACTTAATGTAGTATAAATAATAATTCTAGGAAGAAAAACCATGTATGATAAGACAAAATGTATAACATTGGGTGTTACAGAGGAATCAGGAAACTTATTTCGGTATATCATCCTCTCTGAATTGTTCTTTTCCGTGTATCTAGTATTTTTGATAGAAATATCTCATTTAATCTCGAATATGTCCTAAAAATTATAACAGTGTAATACCAATAACTAAGACCTGAGAAAGAGTAAGGAAAAAAATAGGGAAATAAAATTTTTGACAATAAAATCAATGACATCGAAAGAAATGTGATTGGGTGTTTTTAATTCTTGGAGTTATTTATTTATATAAAATTTTTCATGTCTTTCATTCTTCAGTGTATATATTAAAAACAGGATGTGTTTGTGAAACACTATACCCCCGGTGGTACAACAATTCTGGAGTGGAACGTGAACATAAGTCGTATACACTTGAAAGATGTTTTTAAAAAATCAAATGTAGGTCAAATTTTACAGTTTAGTTAACATGAACAAACACTTCTGTACCAATGGAACAGTATTGTCATAATGAACACTCATGTCAAGTATTAAAACCTTTGCCTTGACAACTCAATGGTTATCGGCTAGGTTAAAGATGACAACAACAAAAAACTAGCAGAGAGGACAAAAACAATATACACTCTGAATCTTTTGATCCGGTGACATACATGTAGAATGTCGGAGAGTAACCGTGTGCATTTGATAATTTTAATAATTTAATAAATATAATTATACATTTACTGGCTGTTCTTGCCTCAATTCATCTTGAAAAAAAGGTATCAGAACTTTTTATTAGAATATTTTTATGCGAGTATATCTGGATCTATACATAGCAATTTTTAGAGCTGTTGTATCTAAACATAGCATTACTCACAATTATCCAATACTTCCTCGTTTCGAAAAATGAAAAGTTGCGACACAAATCCGGTATGACTTTTTTCATTATTACATTATTTATCATACTCACTAAATATGGATTTACCGTGGTCTCCAAAAACTGTACAAGGTAAGCAGTTTCATTATCCATGAAATCAATAAATGTTTATTCTCATAAAGAATTTGAGTTTACAATTTACAAACATCAAAATACAATTGCAAAGTGATACTTTATTTGTTTAGATATCCGCATGGGTGCTGTCCAGGTTATGAATGGAATACCAAGACTGAAAACTGCACAGGTTACTTACATTTTGTAATTTAATATTTTTTTTTTTACATATGTTAGTAATACAGTTTTCAAAACCAATGGATATCTTTCATCAGTGTTCAATTTCGTTTTTAGCTGGTGTTCAAAAGTGATGATATCCACTTATTAGCTGATTGTAAATGGAAAAGATTTTTTATCAAACCTGCGACAGAAAGTATTCCACTTCCCGAGTGTAATGTCGCCAAACCATGAAATGCCAGAGACAGGGAGAATTAAAGTGAAATTACCTATGAGGCATAATTGGGAAACATATTCAGAAATTTTATTTTTAATATTCAATTTTAGTTTCAATTTACGAGGATTGTCCCAAAAAGTCGTAGACAATGTTTATAACTTTTTAAACATCCAACCAATACTACTAGTAGCCTAATTTTGCATAGACATGATATAGTCAATGTTCTTTGAGATTGTGAATTCTTAAATATATATCTTTCATATAATGATATTAGGACGATTCAAATGATGGTCGATAAGGTCTGTCGGCACACGAACAAAATTAGGAATAATTGAAGTATATATCTATTAAATTTGCTTTTATTTCAATTTGCTTTAAACAAACGAAAAATACAAAAACAAAAACAAAAAGGGGGGGGGGCAGTAGTGAAATCAAATCAGACCCTTAGTCAAGAGTTGTCTTTCACTTTAAAAAGATATTGAATGTTAAAAGACGCGTGTGAAGCAGAAAAATAGATCATGCGTTATAAGACACGTAAATTACGTTTGCTTCGAGCTCTAATGTATACTGATATGTAACTTGTTTTGAAAGCTGAATGAAAGTAAATTTTGCAATCAGAAAAAGCACATAAATACCTTTGTCACTACAAAGTCAAACATTTATATTAATAATAATTTATAATAATTATTTTTAAAAAACCCACTTTTTTATGCTGTGTCGGTGTGTGGAAACGGAACTTCCTCGACTACGTAATGTTCTGTTTACCTGATCAATGCATTCGTTTTATGGCTGACGTGGTTTCCAGTCAACAGGGGATGCTTACTCCTCTTAGGCACCTGAGTTTACCTAAACATTTCTTGTATTTTTGCCCTGTTTACAAAATTCTGATGACGTTGATGACTGTATTTTAACATTTAAAACTATGATTATATCATGCATGGATTGTTTAACTTTCCCTTTGCCTAATTTTAAGCACCTTCTATAACAATGTTTCCTATTAATCGAACATTACATTTTTAAATATCAACAAAACAAAGAGAAAACTTGGCCGATTTTATTTATTGAAATATCCACAAGATTTCTTTGCAGAATGTAATATTGGTTATGCTGGCACCAACTGTTCGAAACCTTGCATCTTTCCAAGCTATGGTATGAAATGTAGACAGGAGTGCAGTTGTCCTGAGGATGAGTGTAACTTTATACTCGGATGTACACATGTCTCTACTTTCAGCTTCCTTTTTAAAGGAAGCACATTGGCACGTACATGTAAGAACGAAAAGAAATTATCAAGATTTTTTTTTTTAATCAGCTAGAACGTTTCATTTTAATTATTTCATTTATTGAAGGTTGAAGTTTAGAACATTGTACATTGATTTAATTAAAATATGAGGATTGTTTTTCCCCTTTTGTCTGTCCAACTTCTTCACAACTTCATTTCGTCAATTAAAAAAAAATTCTTGATACATTCTATTGATAACTAATTTTTCACATATATAACTACTGAACAATTTTTCATCTACGATACGAATTAAATATATATATGTCATTTAAAAAAATATTAATTGAAATCTCTCGAAAACATCACAGCAAAAAGATGTACCGATAAAAGAGTCAATGACAAATACTGCAAAATCATAACAGATTTATAGTCGGACAGACTTATACAGGAGTATATACGGTACTGAGACACTGGAACTCGGTTTAAAAAGTCTCATCAGAAGATCCAGTCTCTAAAATTGGAAATGTTTTAGCACTGCTTATCGGATGAAATAAATGACAATTTCTCTATCTCCCTACAAAATGTTAATGTTGAACAAAGTTAACATTATGATTCATTTATGAGAGGAAAAAAAATCAGTTAATATGGCGTTTAGCTATACAATAAATGATTTCTTCTCATTATGTATCATACAGTTAAAGGCCATTAAAAGTGATTTCTTTTTCTCATTATGTAACGATGACGTCTTAACAATTAATAATGGTTACAAATATTCATATGTCGACTCGATATATCCCAGTGAATTAAAACAAATATTAATGTATCTCTTTTATTCACTTATCATACTTTTATCATACATAAAAAGACTTTATTGTTAACCTCACGACAAAACATCATGAAAAACGTGAAGACTTCTACAATTCCATATTTAAGTTTCCTTACTTATGTAGTTATATACATGTACCCTTATCACCTGCAAATGGCGGTAAAGTAGCCACGTTTTTACACACAAAATGTGCATAAATTGACAAACAAATTAATAAAACAAGAATATGTGCATGCCGCTTTGTTTCAAGTAAAAAGGATCATGAACGATTAAAAGCTTTGGGTTTTATATTCTTTTGGTTTTCTATTGTGATTTCGGAATAGCTATGGGCCAATCAAATTTTAAAATGTAAGTATTTGTGTTGTTTGCCCCACATACTAACATATGTATCTGTGTTTAAGGGTGTGTGAGGACGTATATGAAGATAACGAACAGTATTCAATATTAAAGTCCATTAAACAAAACAAAAAAGTGCAGAATAAACACAGGCCTCCAAAACATCAGAGGTGAAATTAAGTGTCATGGAAGAGTGAGCATCTCCTGCTGACCTGTCACACCCGCCGTGTGCCCCTTGTCATGAACGGGAAATAACGGTAAATAACCGTCCTCCATTCCGTGGATAAATAATGGACTAACAATGGTGTAGGAGGGTGTGTATGTGTGTAAAAAGGTGTAAGGGTTCACGTGCGGAGTTGCGATTGTAATTATTGGAGAGGGGGAAGGGAGAGAATGTGTGCGAGAGAAAAAAGTGTACTTTTATTGCTCTATATTCAAATGGTTTTTGTCCTGGTTTCAAGTGGAATACAGAGACAGAAAACTGTGCAAGCAGGTATTTTCAATTTCCTAGTAAAATTTTACTTTTAATTTAAAAGTAAAGCCTTTTTAATATCATATTATCACCAAATTTATTTTAACGTATGCTCATCTCCATACTTTGACAGTAACTCCACGACGTATTTTTTAATTGTACGAAAATGCGTCTTTTAAATATATTTATTCCTTATTTCTTATTTGCCTAATGTAATCTTTCTCTTTATGGGAAGAAAATGTTAAGTTTAATTACTTATATTTTTTTACTTTTTGCTATTTTTAAACATATCTATTTACTTCAACAATCAAATTAATTAATGATAATAACAGACTAAATATGTTTTTTTAATCATCTTTCAGACAAGCAATTTAATTAATGACTAAACGTCTGATTTGTCTTCTGTGTTTATAAAATTTAACAAATTATTTTATAGTATTGCACAGGAATTTCCAATACGTAAGTTGAAATGACCAAGCGCAATTGAGTAAAAAGTCTTCTGTCAACAATTATCTACATATTGACGTCATTTTTACGTTGTGACGACACAAACATGGAGGGAAAGATTTCAATACATATACTATTCACAGAACATACATGTTTGGCTCTTTGTGCCTCAATTTTCTTTTTGATCTGAATTTGGATTTTGCAAATATACATGTGCAGATAATTCGCGAACTTTTGATCACACCTCGCATTATCATGCCTGTTATATTGGATTCTTCTTGTAAATACCATTTCTATATCAAAGAAGAAATGATAATAGAATTTTTGCACTTATACCACTTTTTTTCACATTTGAGGTCAAAGAACATTTAATTTATAGTCGCAACAAATGCAGAATTCATGAAATACATATAGTATAACCACTGCTAATGTATAACTACTATTAAGGAAATATCAAGCTTGGCTATAGAGTGTTATATATTTATGAATTACAAGTACATTAAATAAGAATACAAATGAATCAATGCCAAAGGTGAAGACACAGAGTATCGCAGAACCAAACATGTTAAAATCAATGCACGTGTAATTTTAGACATTATTGAATATCAATTAATTAAGAAATAAATAACAAGTTCATAAACTTCAATGGGAATTGAAGTGGGTCGGGTCACGTGATCAAATCCTGTGAAGGTCAAAGGCCTTCTTACAAGATTTGATCACGTACCGACCAACATCAATTCTCATGGAAGTTTATAAACTTGTCATTTATTACTTATATATACATTTGAAACAGACAACTGAATATTTTAGATTTCTAAATTATTGCACTAACCGCCCGTCGTAGATATTGAAAAATGACGCAAGGTTAAATCGGCTTGTATGGCGGTAAGGCATCGAATTCATTAGGTAAATGAATCTATTTCGAATGGAATAATTTGTGAAAGGCTACTTGTGATCAGTAATAGTGAAAATAGTGTTGTCTGGGAATATTTTTATTCGTGAAAATTGATAATCAATGCTGAAAAGACACAAGAAACACGCCCGAAATTTGATGATAAAAAGTTGGGGGAATTTCGGTCGCCGGAAAGATGGGTGGATCTGATGGATTGAGACATTTGTCCCAGCCAGTCAATTTGCAATTTGATCTAAAACATTCTACGATTTCAGTAACTAAAGGCATACTTAATGTAAAACACTGATAAACACGGAGACACTGGCAATAGCTTTATATTGAACTTCGAAAACGCCAAGGTGTTTGGCAGCTATTCATGGCATGGTTGCAAGGATATTTTCCAACAAATTTACACATTTATCATGAGTAGAATTCAAAGATGAAATAATAGTTTAGCAATTATCATGAAAATTTTACCAAAGTCTAACCCAAAAATAAGGATGAACGTTAGAGACTGTGCAGTTGACAAAAGTGAAGAAAAATGTAAACAAACGCTAGCCTAGTTAGTCTATGTACACAGGTTTAATCGATTGCCAAAAACTTGTTTACATTGTAAATAAAATAATTATTATTGAATTTGGTTATTTCGTTCATTTTTTATACATAAAAAGCAAGAATTAAGAGCAGATCATTTTATAATTTATGTACCGGGAAATTTTATTGCGCCGTGTGATTAGGTAACGTATTGACCTCTGACAAACTTCATACAGAATTGAAGATATTTTCTCTATGTATGTTCATATAATGGAGAAATACCACAAATGTTTATATTCATAATATATTAATGGACCATCCATCAAAGATATTTTTATTCAAAATATTTTAAACAATTGATTGCTCATACTTGATATAAAGCTCGTGTTACTAACTTTCCATGCATGTATCAATAGATGAAATCATATACATTGTATACATACACAATTATTGAAGAACCAAATTCAAAGATAATCAAAATTCAAATCAATGATTCTCATACAGATTTTATATTTCTAGAGTTTAATTATCTATAAAGCACACATGTAAATATTAATTTCGTTACCATATCTTTCATTAATACAACGTTGTTTTAACCTACTTAACCGTATTTATCACGACCTGACAGAATAAAAAATGCACATTGCAATATACGTTTACTGGGTACATGTTACAGTCTGGTTATTTTATTTGTTGTCAGAGTTGTACTTTTCTACATTTGTTTCAATAAATCTACATTGTTGCAAACACTAAAGAAAACTTGTAGAGGCTGGGGGTGGCAGCCATTTTTAGACTATATCGATCTATTTTAAAAACAAGAGCTCCATATAAAGATTTACAAAAATGATTTAATTTCAAAACTACAATGTATGAATTTTCTCTTTGCCAAATGATAGTTGACAGCTTAAGATATCATATCTAAACAAGAGGCCCAGGGGCCATAGCGCTGACCTGAGCACATCGGGCTTGAATATATCCCCCCCCCCACCAGGCATTCATCGTTTGAACAAATTAGAATCTACACTACCCGAGGATGTTTCCATATAAATATCACTAGTACTTGAAAAAAAAAAGATTTTAAAAGGTTTCCCTATATATTCCTATGTAAAACTTGTGTCGGCAATTTTGACCTCACCCTTGCCCCGGGGGTCATGATTTGAACAAACTTGAATCTACACTACCTGAGGATGCTTCCACATGAGTTTCATCTTTCCTGGCACAGCGGTTCTGGAGAAGAAGATTTTTTTTAAAATGCCATTAATTTTTAACAAATTCATTATCTCCCCTTGGAAAAGTGCGTGGCCCAACAAAATTGAATCCCCTTCACACAAGGATACTCTGTGCCAAGTTTGGTTGAAATTGGCCCAGTGGTTCTTGAGAAGAAGATGAAAATGTGAAAAGTTTACGACAACAACAACAACGACGACGACGACAGACGACGGACAAATTTTGATCAGAAAAGCTCACTTGAGCCTTCGACTCAGGTGAGTTAAAAACAAGAAGTTAAATATGGTGCTTAATTTGTGGTTAT